ATATTTACAACGGTTGCAGTGTCCCAGGGTCATGTGACCATCTTTTGTGAACTTCTGACAAGCAAAGTCAATGGGGAAGCCAGATTCACTTAACAACCATGTTACTAACCTAACAGCTGCAATGATACACTTAACAATTGTGGCCAGAAAATAAAATGGGGCAAAATCCACTTAACAACTATTTCACTTAACAACAGAAAATTTGGGTTCAATTGTGGTCACCAGTCAAGGACTACCTGTATTATATTTTCTTTTGTATAAATGTTGTTGCCACCTTGAATGCTACTTGTTTAATGTCAGGTGTAAACACTTTTTAAAATGGAAAGAAACAACTATTTGTGGATCAGAAGATAGAGAAAAACAAGCTTGCTGAAATAGTATTCCATAATTCTTGCTCAAGCCACAAATCTCAAAATTAGTATGAACTAGAGTGTGAAAGGGTTAAACACTGTGCAGGTACAGTTCTTATAGCAACTGCAAATGTTACTGAAATAAAAGGCAGAAACAGGAAATCTAAAAAAAAATATCTTCCCCAAGGCAGGCATCTGTCTTAAATGATGTAATTTGTCAACTTTCCAGCATCTTGTAGTTCTGAACACAAAAAGTTCTATACTAAACAAAGAACATTACATGTTCATTAGCCAAAATGTTCCTAAAGTACTTAACAGAGAGTTTTCATTTAATAAGCAGCAATTACTTGCACTGTGCAATATATAAACATTAATTTTGGGTAACTAATAACTATTTCAAAACATTCTAGTTGGGTTTTGATAGAATTTTGTATCAGATGACAAAGCTGAAATTTTAAATAAGGGTTGTTTTTTTCTCTGTGTTAAAACCTGTCCAAAATTGAGTTGTTTACTGTGCTAAAAAAAAAAAGGCCCAAAGTGTTAAGGTATTACAATAAATATTGTATTTATATAGATCATTCATATTGGAATGTAAAATAAGAGGCAAATTTATCAGTACTGAGCTAAAAATAAATTAAGAGAAATAGTAATTAAAGAATCCTGTTTATTCAAAACATGGAAAACTTAGCACGTATTTAAGTGTGTAAAATTTAACTAGTGTGCAACCTGCCCATAAACTTACACTCCCAGTGAACCTTAAAGACAATATGGAAGGAAGGCCATTCTCTATAGAATAGTGATGATTTACCCACAATTTTTGGTCCCAATTTTCTCTCTAAAAATGAGGACTGACAGTTGCGCTGCATTATTCATTTCTGTTTAGATTATGATAATTATTTAAAATGTATTTTTAAACATATGTATATCCTATACACACATACTTTCAAAGTATACGTATGGGTTACTAAATTTGAAAATGTCTGTAAGTATGGTAGTAAAGATCTGGTATCGGGGCAAATCATTTTTTTTTAAGAAAAAGACCTTCTCATGCCTGGAAAGAGTCCAGTTTCTAAGGATAAGTAAAAATAATGCAAACCTGTTCAAGATTACAAAAAAAAAAAAAAAAAAAAAAAAAGGGGGGGAGATGGGCCTTTTTTGCTTTCATTTTATGTTTTTCTTTAACATGGGGCTTTCATACCATCCCAAACATATAGTCGTTTTCAGAATATATCATTGCCATGCAAAACATAATAAATTTATCTTCATTCACTTAAGGCAGGGCTGTCACGTGCAGACCACGCCCACCCTGGCTTTGCAAAGGCAAAAAACATTGTGATACGTCACGATACGTCATGTGACGCGATCGAGTTTGACACCTGTGACTTAAGGGATCCATCAGTTAAAACGTTAAGTCTTTCATCTTTATTACCTTTCCATTAAAATGAAAGAAACCTGGACTATTCAACTCTTTACAAAGGGGGAAAAATGGATTACATCTTTATTCCCCAGACATACATATCCAACTCACAAGCAAGTGTGTAGGATGTTAAACGTCATGGTATATTTTATTGGATTACAGCATTCGACATTTGGCCATTGCCTGTCCTTTCCCATTCCTATTTATGTTAATAAGACCTGCAGTGTTTAGTGTGTTTCCTGGTAGGCATGTTCACATGTTTTGAAGATGGGTCTGTTCTATGGCTGATAGATTAGAAATAGACAAATTAATAATTAACCCTTCCATTGGTCTAGACTTTCTTGAACCCTGCACCAGTAACTCTTTGCTATAATGACGACACAAAGAGCCTTACATCAAGGCTGTGCTGCTTCTCCATAACTCAAAAGCGTCCCAGTGGACAATAGCCTCCAGCCCCATTTATCTTTAGTGCGGTTGTGACACTTCGGTATGATCCATAATTTGGCAGCTATTTACCGTGACAGTTCTCTTCAGTGCAGCCATAACATTCAGCGAAGGCATTATCTGGTTCCATTTACCATACAAATTGTATTGTTGTACATGCATGCTAGCAGCTATATTAGGCACCTGAAAATGAGTAAATCTTGTAAAATAGATACTAACAGCCTATTCAAATAGGGCAGGTTTTTCCCAGTTTGGCTGAGGAAAGGCAATGAACAAAAAACATTTCTGAAGACTGAGGCAAACTTTTCCCTGAGGAGTTGCAATTACCTGTATTTCAACAGTCTGGCAACTACAGCCAGCAACTGGCTTTTTTTTTTTACTTTTTCAAAAACATCAAGTCTAGAATATTGAGAAACATAATTTATTTTTTAAAATCAAATCCATTCAATAGAAAAATTATGATAAAATATGCTAAAATGGCAAGTGCAAATGAATACATTTACCACATATTATCTTTAAAAATTTTTTATATTGTATTCTTTCTTTCTTGATATCTGTCCCCTTCCCCTCATCACTGAAACTTTGGTTTATTTCCAAATAGGAAAAAAAATGGCTGTTTTTTTTACTCTTTGCAAAAACTTTTTCCCATCAAGATTTTCTCTTGAAGCAAATTCATGTAGAAAAACTTTAGACAAAAATATACAGGTTTACTCAAAAGCAAGCTCCATTCAATTTCATAGGACTTAAGTATTTGTAGATTTTCAGCCTCTGTGACTTTCTAAATTCAGCCTGAATATTATTAAAAGCTTTGTTCTTTATACGGTGTCAATATTAACTTTCTTGAGCACACATACGTGCTTAATTATGAATTCATATTTTTTTTAAAAAAACACATTTTAAAATAAGTCCGTTGGATGCCAAATCCAAAGTTTTATACAAGCATCATGGCTTTTTCTGGATTCCAATAGCCTCTAGTACAGCTTTTTGAAAAAGTTCAATCACATATCTTAGTTCAAAAGCCTGAGAAAGGAAAAATTCTACTCTCCTCTCCAGCAACTTATATAGTAGGCAACTTGAAACCTCCTTTATTATATTATTATTTTTTACTTATACAGTATAGTTCATGAAGTCAACTGATCTATCAACAGTCTTTACTTTTTTTGTATATTGCTGAATGAAAATCATAAATACCAAGTTTTCCTGAAAGTAAGACCTACCCGAAAATAAGCCCTAGCTTGATTTTGGGGAGTGGGCCTAATATAAGCCCTAACCTAAAAATCAAGCTAGGGTGGGGATGGGGGTGTGGAGCTTACCATTGTGGCCAGGTCACCCATGGATCGACCCTTGCCTCACCAGAAACAGCAGCTCCATTCTCAGCTGCAGAATGAAGCTGCTCCTTCAGCTGCAGAAGAAATGGGCTGGCTGGGTGGAGCTGTTGATTCGCGTATTATGGTATTCATCATAGTCCTTACTTGTATATGCACTACCACACACTACAATAGAATGGATGCTGTGATTATTATTAACAGAAAATGCTTTAAGTTCTTGCGTTGCTTTAATATATTTGATAATTATTACAGTCAATTACCAGTTTTTCTGGTAACTGTTATATTTAGTGAAGAGAAATAATGCAGAATCTTCAGATGACATAAATTTCTTGCTAAAACTATTGTCTAAGATACAATAAATGGTTTCATATTTAAGTGAATTATTGATTTATTGACTGCCCAATTGAAACTGAAAGAATTTATACACATAGTAGTAAACCAAACATGTTTAGTAGTAAATACTGGTAGTATACCAAACATGCTTAATATAGTTATATACCAAGTATGTTAGTAGTATATCAAACATGGTAGCAGTAATACCAAGCAAATTTAGACTGAAGTAATTTCTCTGACATCAGTGGATCTTATTTATGAAATTAGGATTTATGGCATCCATGTAAATATTGTTTATAACTAAGGCCCTCAAAATTAACTGTGAGATTCAAATGTTAAAAATGTGCACAGATGAGCAATTTGAAAAAGATGATTTTTAGACATATAGCATTAATATATAATGACTTGTAACAGACCTGGGTTACAAATACTTTGTATGAGTTACTTATGCCTAAAACTGAATATTATTCTAATGTTTTAATTTTTTAATCAAATCAAATAATCAAATTAAATCATTATGAGTGTATCTATAAAGGTTTCAGAGGATAGTAGCATCCAAAATGTACTTCAGTTACAATTTATCAACAACAACAAAAATTACCAGCCCAATCCAAAACTAAGTTAAACTGAAGTATTTAGATATAAGCCATTTAAATCCATTGATACAATGGTGTTTAGTTGGTTTAAGGCAGTGGTTCCCAACCTTTTCTATACTCTGCGCCCCTAGAACGCTTCTGATATATTTCTGCACTTCTTATAAAAGTTCAAAATAATGGCAATGAATTATGCATATACACTATAATTTTGAAAACCCACGTTTTCGCACCCTCTGGAATATCATCTGGCACCCTCAAGGGAACCCCTGGTTTAAGGGTTATGTCTGTAGTAAATTTAAATCCAGTCTCTACTCAAAGAATGCTTTACACTTTTAAAAACTTGTTTCCAATTCTCCAAATTCTTAAAAAAGTAAAAGATCCGAGAACGGGAAACTAATACAGGATATTTAAAATGTATCATATTTTTGTCCTCTTTGAAGTTTCTGGAAAAAAACCCTACATGTATTGTACATGTATTGATGCACTTGGAAATCAAACATGTGTGCCTTCCCCAAATCTCAAATAGGACATACAAAGTGAATAGAAAAAAGGTGACTGTAGAAAGCTCTACTTGTAAAATGATTTTTTAAAAACATTGCATTTCAAAGACTATTATTGACGGCTCAGTTCCATTTATCTACTTAGATATAAGTTTTGTTAAGTTCAAAAAAGGTTATGTCCCAATGGAACTTCTAGCCAAATAAGTCAGGCATGAGATTATATTGTTGAAGAAAAGGAGGAAAAACTGGATAATTGAATCACACTGTAAAAAATTAACTGCAAAAATTTTATTTTAATTTTAATGCTTATACTCAGAATTGTACAAAACGATCTCTTAAAGAAATGACATTTGATCACATAGCCAAATACATTCCATATACTTATGCCATTCTAATCCAACATTTTAATCTGTGGTATTTCCATTTTCAGAGATACAGCATATATCTTCTGGTGCATTTCATTAATTGGGAAATTCCTGGATTAGTTATCTTCAACAGAATTTAAAATAGTTAGATAACATTAGAAAAGTTCTAGTAATAATTGAGTGTAATAGCAAGACAACATTTCAAGTATAATATTATAAGACAACCAAATATCCCAAAATATAACAACAAATAAAAATAAAATAAAAGCTGGCAAGGTTGATTCAAAAGTAAAAAAATCATTTTCAACTAACATACACATAAAAAGGTCATACATGTTCTTACTAGAATAAAAATGTGTTATATATAATACGCTTTGTAGGAAAAAAACTTTTTTTTACAGAGCATCATTATCAAAATGTCTCTGCAGATTGTATGTATAACAAATCTCAAATTTAGTTTAATAGTGCAGTCCCATACAGATGTTTATAGATATAATCAATCTGAATATCAGTAGGGCATATTTCTGTGTAAAGTGCATATAGGATTGCTGCTTAATCCTAAGCATGTCTACTAAAAATGGCTACTAAGTCATTTTGAGGACAATGGGCTTCATCTTATTCAAACTGTATAAGATTGCAGCTCCATATGCCTTCACATACTGAGTTCCAGAAGAAAGGTATGACATCAATTCGTAACAGTTTTGTACTTGCTTAGAATTATATTCAAATCCACTGCAAGTTGGAAATTGAAAATCTCCATACCAAAAAATGTGAAAATAAATGTAATGCCAGCTACAAGCTGCATTTTTAAACCACACAAAACCTCTTAAACAAATCAAAATACTGTTTTGCTATTTTAATATGTTACCCGTTGCCAGCTTTAAAGAAATTAAAGCATTATCGCCAAGCATAAAATGCCCATTTGCTCTGTTTTGATTTATGTCATTGTTCTGTTTTTACAGCTTACTGTTGACAGAGTGAGGTAATTCAACTACAATTTTTCCAATGTTTTTCCCCATGTACATATAATCTATAGCACGGAACACTGACTCTAAGCCAGTAAACTTGCTCTCTAGAGACAGGTCTCCAAAGTCCACCTCGCAAACAATTTCTCTCTTTTCACACATTTCAACCAAGTGTTTCAAAGCCATTTGGTAATCGGAAAAGTAATGGTTTAAGAAGAAACCTCGGATGCTGGCTGATTTTTTTAGCAACTTTGCTGGCAGCATTTCTGTGTGACTTCGTGGAAGGCCGGTAAGTGTTTGGTAGCCAGAAATAAACCCAATAATGATCAGGCGACCTTTGATAGCCAAGGAGTTGATAGCCAAGTCATACATCTCTCCACCAACCGATTCATACACAACATCCACACCTTTGGGGTACTCATTTTTGAGGACAGCAGCAATATTTTCAGTTTTATAGTTGATAGGTCGATCACAGCCAATAGATTTCAGAAAAGCATATTTTTCATCACTGGAGCAAGTTCCTATTACGTGGCATTTTGCCTTCTTTGCAAGTTGCACAGCAAACTGACCAGTGCCTCCAGCTGCTGCTGTCACCAGAACTGTCTTCCCTTCAGACAATTCTCCAAGCTCTTTCAGACTGATATATGCTGTAGTTCCACTTACCAGAAGGGTCAGAAACTCTGGTTTCATAGAAGGTACGGGAATGGCTTCTTTAGCAGGCACAACTGTATATTCAGCAAAAGCTCCTGGTCTTACATAGGCCACAGACTGGCCTACAGTGTATTTTGCACTTGCACTTAAGCCCAAGGCCACCACTTCACCAATCCCTTCAAAACCTACATCAAATGGAGGCTTAACCAAAGAGTCGTACCGGCCAGCTGAGTAGTTAATATCAGATGCATTAATGCCAACAAATCTAGAAGAAAACAAAAAATGTGTTAAGATCTCTTTTTAACAAGACTTGTTAAGAAAATAATTTCATTTAAATGCACAAGGCTGGAGATTTAAGTAATGCCTCTTCAAATATCTCAAAGGCTGCAGCAGGAGTTGTTTTGTGCCCCCCACTTAAAAAGATTATTGTAATCAGATTTCACTTCTGCTAACATGCAGACTTGACATTATAACTTCAAATGAAAACCCAAGGCATTCTTTCTTGTTATGCATGACAAAAGTAACAAAGATAAGCTATGGAATAAAAATGTTTTTTACATGGCATGGCATGGCATAGAATAGAATAGAATAAGCAAATATATTGACTCTGGCAGCAAATTTACATTTCAGATTGTAATAACACTTTATATGACTAATGATAATGTAAAGTATCAAAGTCCTCTCCAAGGTCGATGGACAAAAATGTTACTGCAGGCAAATTTAAAGAAAATTGATCTAGTGACTATAATAAATTTGCTTTTTGATGTGACTAATTTGCACATTATTAAAACATTTTGCTGTATATAAATGACTAAAACACCTTAAAAGAACCTTGAACAGAAAAAGTAAAATAATGCACCAGTAGTTTGCACATATTGATTTTTAAGGGGTAAAAATGAGCGAAAGTATTAAAGATGGGCAATGAAGTATGTTGTGATGCTAAGGAATAAGTTAACTGAAGAGAGAGAGAGCCAGTTTTATTTCCATATAAGTTAAAAAAGAATCTATGCTGATATGATTGTCCTTTATATCCAAAAATAAATAAATCTTGCCATTTAATTATGCATGAGGATGAAAAAAATATGTAAAAAAATATTAGTTTCATACCCAAACTGGGAAACTGTATGTGGATTTATGGGGGTTTGAAATCATTTACATGTATAGAAATAACCAAAGTAAAGGAAGCTCTTTGGACATTTCTAATTCTAAGAAAACGGGCCGGTTCATTATGAAGTGTTCTCATATGTACGATATAGCTACAGATACAGAAATATATGCCCATACATCCTCAGCTGAACAACTTCTGCAGTGTCCAATTCTTTATACAATCTAGCCTGCATCTGCACCAGAGGATACCTTCGTTCTATTTATGGCTCTTCGGGAAATCAAAACAAGGCTAAAGTAGCTTTAATTTACGCCCTTTCTACCTCCTGTAGTGGAAGAGTAAAGCGAGGCGTGCGTGCGAGCCGTGTGTGTGTGTGTGTGTGTGTGAAAAAAGAGAAAGATTCTAAAGCGAAGGTTTGCCTTAAGGACCTGAGAAACAAAAGATCGGGGCAGCAACATGAGGATGGAAGAAGACTCAACTACGCGAAGAAACTCTTCTTCCCTTGCTTCGTCTATAGAGCCAACTTCTTGCAGGAAGTTTGCTACCCCGAGAAGCGGCGGTTGGGCGGGAAGCCGGCCCTATTTATTCTTGCATCCCCTGCTTCTCCACTTCACACAACTGATTTGTGCTGCACGTAGGATGTCGCCCCCCCCCATCTTTCGCCCAAAGTCATAGGGTGGCGCGGCTCGTCTGAAAAATTCCTTCCTCCCGCCAGCCTAATTGTTACTGCTTTCACGCCTCTCCAGTCTTTTTTTTTAACGCCCCTCTTTCCCCCAGCCGAGGCAAAGGTCCCGCGCTCTCGGCAAGCGGCTTCTTTCCAGAGCGCAAGATCAAGTTCGAGGCTTTGATTTGGTCCTGAGACTCCCAGACCTTGTTTTTTTTCCCTTCAGCTCCAGCCTCGGGTCTGAAGTGAAACTTTGCAAGAGCGCAGGGCCGGGGTGGGACTACCTCTCCGCAAATGTCGGAGCGGAGGTGCCCTTCACCACGCGCGTTTAGACAACTTTTCCCCGCCTCAGCCCGTTTACCATTTTTTCCCTTTTTAATTTTTGTAACGATCCTCCCCCCCCCCCATATGAGATAAAGCAATGCAGAGCGTAGCGGCGCGAACTTGGGACGTAAACGAGGTGGCTGTCTGGGTGGCGGCGTCTAATAATTCCGTTGGCCGAAGTGCTACTACAAGTAGTACAGCACCTTCGCCCGCTGTATCTTAATAAGCTCTGCTGAGGGAGCCGTGTTTACTTTGACTCCCGCTGGCCGGCAATGCGTGTGCCCAACGAAGGCGAAGTGGTTACAGAGCAGACAAGACTTGACTCCGTACGGCTCCGTTTGAAGGGGAAACTGCTGACAGCAAAGAGTACCTTAACCCGCTGTCAAGTTCGATTGGAGGGTGGAAGGCCACCGGGTGATCCTCTCCCAAGCACCACTACTTTTCTCTCCTTATGCCAAATACGTGAGGCCGTTTCCACTTTCCACTTCAGGTTTTCCCTGACAAGTTTTCCAGGCGCTTACGGTTGCCTCTTGCCAACTTTATAGGAGCTTTCCCCGCCCCCCCATGGAAAACAAGGGCAAAAATGGCAGGATTGTCCAGCAAAAATCTAGGGAGGAAAGACAGGGTCGCAGAATCAGCAGCAGAAGGTCAAGTAATAAACCCAATTAGGTTTTAGCAACCTTTCTAGTCCCCAACACCCTGATCTTTCTGGCAAGTTCTTCTTCAGAACATAACTGAATAATTTAATCTCCAGACTCTGCTTATTCCTTATCCCATTCAGCACAAAACATCACTTTTTTAAAAGTTCCCATTTCAGCAACCCTAAGGTTAGGGAAATGTTATAGGCGTATATCTGAAATTGTGGTGACTTTTAAAAAATGGATGAGCTTTTGTTACAGACTAAAGAATTATTCCCACTATTCTTATTAGAAATCAGCAAATTTCACTTATACCATTATTGCACAACTACTTGGTTGTACACTTACCCCTGTTCACTTTGGGGCTTTACATGCTCAGGTGAAAGCTCCATTGAAGCACTAGGTAGACAGCAACAGAATAGTAAGGTTTCACTGAAATTAACTGGACAACTGAGGGCACCATTGGTTTGTATCTGTTTGCAAAACTAAGTCCCAAGCCTAGCTTGTGCAAAGGGAAGGAGATGTGTGGCCTTTCCAAAACAACCACTATTATCCAGTAAATTAACTATTGACCTAACTGATGTCCTACCCCTGCTCCTCCTTTACCCTTTGCATCAAAGTAGAGGCATCCAAGCCTTTAACACAGTTTAAACCAGTGAAATGCTTAACTTAAACAACCAAGGTCCCCACTTTCCATAAGGCAGCAAATTTAGATTAATATGTAAGATGGGGGGGGAGGAAGGAATGTTTAAAGGAGGTTAAGCAGCTTGTATGTCTTACTCAGAAGCAACTTACTCCCTCAGAAGACCTGATATGTTTAAAGGAGGTTAAGCAGCTTGTATGTCTTACTCAGAAGCAACTTACTCCCTCAGAAGACCTGATGTGTAGGGCAGGTAGCTTGAACAGGCAGACAAAACAAAGTCACCAACACCAAGAAGGGGGGAGTTTAACCCAAACAATCTGCAGGAGACAATTATAGCAACTCTTCCCACTTTTTTACACTTTCCATGAGAATCTACCCATCTTCAATTTTTCTTTTCCAGATTTTCATATCAATGTTTCTTATTACATTGCACTTCTATAAGAATCAGATACTTGCTACATATTTGCTGCTCATACCTGTGCTGAGTCTTGCATTTGCTTATGAACCCGGAATTAGCATTCTGGGTTGAGACAGAGATGTTCTATGTTTAGTATGTTTAGTTTACTATGTTTGTTTCCTGGTCTTGGTCACAAATTCACACTGGTCACAAAACAATATAATGCACTGCTGTATTTCCCGTTGACTTTGTTCTCTATAAATATTGCAGGGGGCTTATTTCTGCTATTGAAAATATATCCTACTGCATATCTATTCGGTTATGAGGATAGGCACATTTTCCAAGCAGAGGCAGAAAAAGAATTTCATCTAAATTGAAATCTTGTTCTAAAAAGGAGGAAAGTTAAAGTCAAATGAACTTCAACAGCCCAAGGCAACATAAATGTCATTCAGGCATGCATGGATATAAGAGTCACAGACAAGACAAAATGTAAAGGTTAGCTCTGTACATAAGCATGTTAAGGTGAGTAAGTAGTAAGTCTGTAAGATAGTGGTGATATTCTTAAACACCTTTTCCTGCCTTCTTTCCTTCTTTCATGCCTTGTGATTGACCAGAATGAATTTTCAAGGCTAAATAAATCCAGGTGACTGCACTTATTCTACTGAGAGAGTGCAAAGACAGTTTCCCAGGCTGAAAAAAATGTGTGTGTGTGTGTGCACGTATATGGTATGTGTAGACAATCCTGAGGAAGCTTTCAAAGAGTAAAAACAGGCATCAAAGAACTATATTCTTAACACACTTTATTTTGCACTAATGAGATATCTGCGCTTGCCAGTGTGAGAACCTCCAGGAAAAAAAAGGAGGGGGAGGGCAGGAGATCACCTCACACAATCCACACAACACAAAAGTTGTGAACTCCCAACTCCTGTGATTTCTCACATGCACCTTTGCAAACTCAAAATGTGTTTACCATAGAGAGGGGGGAGGGGAGAGAGAGATGGCCTTGTAGATTTGAGACTTGGCATCCCTCATTCCTCCAACCTAGGAGAGCTCACAAGCATTCTCCAACTCCCCAGAGAGCCCACCCAGCAGAAGGAGAAGGATGGGAAAGAGTTACATTGGAAACAAAATAAATTGCATGCATAAATTTTCAAATTGCATGGGGGAGGGAGAAAGTGCTGTAGAGGAGGGGATTTGAGAACAAGGGTGTAACAACCTTTTGATGCCAGAGACAGTCAGGAAGCACAGTATATGGTCCTGTACCCTTTTGTATCAAGCCAGTTTTCCCCCCTTCTTGCCGAGAAAGTGAATTTCAATGTACCCAGAGCTAAATATCACTTCCATGTTTAATATTAGCAATGGTTCAGATGCTTGCTTTCTAAATGCTGCCTTCTGATAACTGCAACAATTCAAACCTTTTACATCAGAGAGGGTAAGACTTTATAAATGTGGGTAATGCTGCACACAACATACAGTATATATATATTCCTATGGTTCAGGCAGAGCTAGGATAACTATTGTCATCTGTATTAACACCTGACTTTGTGAGATTCACAGATCATTTCATTCAAGTCACTGTACTTTATCTAGTTGAATCTACCAGATTCAATAGGGCTAAAAAAAATAGTGCAAGGCAATTTCAGATTATCCCGAAGTTCCTACAGCCACATTAAAAGAAAACATTTTAGAGAATCTAAGAGAATCTGAATAAACTCCTCTTAAAGATCTTCCCACAAATCACGGACTAAATCACCTCTTTCCGGTAATGACACCTTCTTCTTCCCCCTGCCCGATTGTTAAGTTTTTGGCTCTCAAAAGTTGATTTTACATAATAGAAGACCAGGCAAAATCCATTTGTAGAAACTATATTCTGGACAGCTATAGTCTGTCCAAACACCTTTTTTTTTGCTATCAAATGACCCTACTACATAAAGCAGTGCTCTGCGCTCAGCGTAGAACTGCAGAACAATAGTCATATACTGTCAAAGGCCACGGGCTTCCATAGAGCTCGCAGGAAGTAAATGGTACTAAAATCGGTAAGGCCTTACTTCCGTGTAAACGGAAAGCGACTGTACAGGGGGCCGCACCTTCCCCCCCCCGCATCTGCTTTTAGTCTTGCTTTTGTTGTGAAGGGGGAAAAAAAAGAGGGTAGTGGAATTAATCGGCTGAGGAGCGACAGGGAAAGGTGGGTGGCAGCCCCATACCACGGAGGTCCCTCGCCTTCCTGTTAATTCAGCTCACGCTTAAGGTTAGTGACGTGGAAGACTGCGGTGGGGAGGGGGGAAAGGTAGAGTTTTTTGTACACAACTTCCTCTAAATTATGTCTGGAGTGTGCAACATGCGCGCGCACCCAGCCCGAGATGACGATAAATAAATCTTAAGCTCTAACACTACGTCCCAATTGCTCGGCACGAACCGCACGTGGAGATCCACACAGATCTGCCAGTCTTTATTGTACAGCACAACTAGCCCTCGCCTATCCAGGGCGGCACAGCAAAGAAAGGGTCGCCTATCCGTACCCTTGCACACTCAGTGTGAATACTAGGCGCAATCCTACCCAGCCTGGGAGGGGCTTGGAAATTCATTTCCTGGTTGTCGAAGTTCCTTCTTGCACCTTTATGTCACCTACAGGCGCGAGATAAAGTCGCTTCACGACTTTTTCTCATCTTTTCCTGAGTGGGTGATGGATTTCTTTTTTCCGGAGGAGGGGTGGGGGAGCATAACTGCCTTCCCACTTCTTTTTTGTCCATAAAATGCGGAGGAGCAGCCGGACGGCCATCAGCGTCAATTGAGCGGCCGCTTTGCGTGCAAGGAAGTGTGCACCAGGGGCTATGTGGAAGGGCATTTGGGATAATAAATTATGCCAACAGTCGTCCAAGGCAGAGGATGCAATTCGATAGGACCGCAAAGAGAGGGACGGCGTGGGGGGGGGGGGGGCGGCAGCGGCGGCACCGGGCCCTTTGCTGGGAAAAGATTCGGGGCGGGCAGCAGCAGGAGGGATCGCCTGCTCCCTCCCCACTTATGGCTAAGGTGCCAAGCCTTGGGAGTGGGGGGAAAAGGAGGCGGCAGGGGAATAGAATCTCTCACCTGTTTCTAACAAGCAGATCGCCGTCTCCCGGGAGCGGCACGGGCGCATCATGGCGAAGGGAAACAGCTTCTCGGAAGTTTGAATTCAGCTTAGTCGCTACCAGTTTCTTCATGGAAGAGGGAATGGACGAGCCTTGGAAATCCAGAAAGTGGCGCGAGTAGGACATGTCCACGATAGGCCGAATCGGAGGAGCACTCAAACAAGCCCGGAAAGATCTCCCTGGAGAAATCAGACGCTGTTGGTTCAGCCAATGGTGCCAAGCTCCCCGAGACATCAGCCACACGCTGATCCGCCGATGGAAACTCATCTACCAACCTTTCGCCGCTCTCCTGGACTCTCCAACCCAGGAGGAGTCTTTCGCAAGTGTACAGTCCTCCAGCACAGGCAGGCTCGGTATATTGCGATTTGTGTATGTAAATAAAGTCTAATGTAGCGAGCCGCCGCCTAGCTCCAAGTCCTCCCTTTCCAACCCCTCCACCACTCGGAAAGATTAGATCAGCAGTAGCAGCCGCTGCAGCCGTTTCGCCTGCGGCGGACCTTCTGTGTCCTGTCTTTACCTTTTTTTTTTTTTTTTTTTTGTAAAGCACAAAGTTCGTTTCGGAGCTGAGCTGACTTAGGAACAGAAACAAAACAAAAAAACAAACAAACCCGTGCGCTGATATGCTTTGTGCAGCCCAAGAACAAAACGGGCAGAATCACACAGCGTTCAAGTGTGTGGAGAGAAACATGAAACCGAAAGGTCGCCTTTCACTCAGGAAGGAAAACATACTTTTTGGGGACAAGAAAGGGCAAATAAATCCCCGACCTTATTCTACAGTTTTCGGCGGAGGACACTGATCTGATTGTTAAGGAAGAGACTATAAATTGCATATTCCAACTTGCGGTATCTAGCCTTCCCCCCAGCTCTTTCCTTAAAAAAAAAAAAAAAGAAAACCCCCGGATCTGATTGTTTCTAAACCGTTCCTATATAAATAGAGGGAAAAAAAAGAAAACTCGAATGTAGGATTAGTTCAATAAAAGGTTAGGCTGGGAGCAAGAAGTTGCAGCTAATCTGGCAATGTTATTAGCAGCCCGCTAGAGCCGCTGGCTGCTGAGACAGGCCCCTCCCCTTCCGTGCGAAACGTTCACTTCCTCGTAAGGTGGTACAAATCAAACCAGAGCCGCTTGCAACCGCGACTGGAAACTGCGCTTGCACTGGAGTGAAAATACTGTAAAGGCACCAGAGATTTACGGAAGGACCGAAAGCATATTTTAAAATCTGGACAGGCGTGCATATGTGAGCTCCGAATGATAGTAATTGTAATAGCATTAGCAGTAGTAATAGCAATAATAATAGGAATGAACTGCTTCCTATGTTCTTCTGTCCTCGTGGTTTTATAACATCCCCCATATGACAAAACAGGCTGAAAATGCATTGGTTGCTTTATTTGCCCCCCAAACCCCCACCCCCATCCCCACCCCGTTAGATATGATCTTAAATAATGTTGCCATACGTTTATTTTTGGCTTCAGTTTTTTTTTTATCTCTATGGTCGAGCTTTCAAATTTCTGCTATGTTCAGTATTGCTAGTGGAAAGATAGTCTCTGCTTAAATTACAGCTTTATACTTATCTATCTGGGAGGCCCACTTAACTCTGTAAATTTACTTTTGAGGAGACAGTGCGCTACCAAAAGAGTAGTTTTTATACATCCACTTAACAGACCCCCCCCCACAACATTACTTTCGAGTAGGATTTGCTATACAAGATGTTTTCCGTGCAAATCTTTGATGTTGCCAGATGCAGACAAACTAGTGATCTAGAGCTGTGTCTGAAACTGTATGCCCTGGGAATCAATGCTTAGTTTTAATTACAGTAGACACGAAACAGCTTTGCACAGGTTAGAATAGAAAAATTGCTTATTTAACTCTTAATTACAGTGATTTCAAGTAAAATGTTAGAAATCCTTTCTTAAAAGAGTTAAGTTTTATTTAAGAAATCGGTTTACCTTTTACACAGTTACCATTTGTTTTGTTTTTTAAAGATTTTAGTAGGCAATTTCAATTTAACAAAATTATTTATCAAACTTCATAACCTCCCACCTCCCTCTGTTTTTTATAAAGCTTGTCTTATCTATTGCCCCAAAAAATGAACTAGCATTATTTTTCATGTGAACTCTTTTAAACTTTTAAAATGCCTCAATGTAGTGTGGTGGTGGACACTTGCTTTATGTGTGACTCCTTTCCCCAAACCTTGGCAGTCAAGCTCCGGAGAACTTGAACTGTGCAGTCAGTACCTGCCTTTGCAACCAGACTATCACTATTTGAGTTCTACTGTACAACAATCCTCGTTTTCCTGGAACAATAAAATAAAATAAAATAAAATATCTGCTATGGTGTTTTTATGGTGTGTTATTTAGTCTGGAAGAAACAAAACAAAAAGCAACCCAAAGAAACATTAAGATTAAACAAAGCAATTAAAAAGATTGACAGCTATGGGTTTGTATGAGAGCTATTTGTAATTGTCAGGGTGACGTTGGCAAGAGGAGGAGGAGTAAAAAAAATCTGAAGCAGGAAAAGCAGCTCGATGTGTCTGTCTATCAGTTGAGACTGTCTGAAAGCTCTGGGATCTGAATGTGTGCTATATTTCAGTGAAATGAGAAGAGAGGGAGAGTGGATCTCTTTCTCCCAGGAGTTTAAACCGAGGGGGGGGGGATAGGTCATGTTAATCTCTCCCATCCTGTGAATGTCTCGGCTTCTCTCTGGACACCCACCCCCCCATCTTTCACACAGTATCTCTGGGGGTTGCCCGGTGGGGGCTTTTGTTTGTTTTCTGTTACAGATCGAGATCAACTATAAATAATAATCCCTGTTAAAAACGTGTTTGCGTTATTCTAGTATCAGAAGAAACAGCGATTTTTGGAAGAAAGGGAGAGAGAGAGGGAGGGAAGCGAGGCATTAAAGTAATCCTCTTCGGTGGTGCCACTGTTTGATCTGTGACTCTTTGGAAGGTGGAGGAGTGACTGACATTTCCCATCCGGTGTGCTCAGTATGTACGGGGGCTTTACTCCTTTTTACTGTTTGCTTTCTTGATGAGACCAAGTGATGGGAGGAGAAGGAAAGACTGGATCGACCTCGTTTTCTGCACAATGAAAAAGCTATTATCGGCGCAATAAATACCAGCATCGCCCAAATCCACGAGCCTTTTTTTTTGAAACAAGCCAGCGAGCGAGAAAGTTGCGCTTGGAGACTCTTTGATCTCGGAGAAAGGCTTGCCGGGGGGGTTGGGGAGAGGCAGCCGAGAGGAAGAGGGTTGAATTCAAACGTCTCTTCGTTTGCTGTTTGCTCCCATTCTCTTCCCCCAAGACGACGGCGAAGAAGTAATTAAGGAAGAGTGGAGGGAGAAGAAGACGACCGGGAGGGGAGAACGCCGGACCAAGTGAACGGATTTGGGCTGCGCGTCGCCGGAGCGAGCCAACCCCTCCGTCTTTTCCATCTCCTCCCGCCTCACATCTTCGGCAGAGGGACCGCGGCGCGAAGCGGGCAAGCTTTGTTTGGTCTCCGAAGTAACTTTTTCAAACAGCCACGGGAAAAGAAGGGAGGAGGAAAGCCCCAAGGGCGTGTGTACGCGCGCGTTGGAGGGGGGCACGGGAAGGTCAGAAATCAACCTTGTAAATGAAAACATTGCCTCCGCGAGTTTGCGGCGGCGGCGGCGCTTGGCATCCCCGCGCCCGGTCCGGGGGCAGCGGCATCCCGGCAGCACCGCCTGCCCCCCTTTTGCAACGTCTGCTCCCCGTTGGCGTCGCCAGGAGTTGACCGGGGAGAAGGACACCCGACGAGCCGCCGGCCCCGAGCGGCGAACCCGCGCAAACTTTTCGCCCCCTCCCCTCCCCTCCTTCCCTTTCCCCCGCCCCTCCCGCCGGCTCTCCCCAAGCGGACTTGGAAGTGGCAGAAGCCCTTGGGCTGCTCCGTGTCCCCATCCCTGCCTCCCACCCACCCCCCATTTTTGTTAGTCTTGTGTGTCTTGTTTGTTTCTGCATGAAAAGAGTGGGGATTGGAAGAGTCCTGTGCGGAAACTCTCCAGCGGCGGCTAAGGGAGGAGGAGGAGGAGGTGGAGGTGGAGGAGGAGGAGGAGGAGGGCGGCTGAAGAGACGGCGGCAACACCAGCATGCCGAGGAGAAAGCAGCAAGCTCCCCGGCGCTCTGCAGGTAACCCCCCGCCTCCTCCCCTCCTTTCCACAACCCCTCGCTTGCTCGCCCGTTTGCTCGCTCGCTCGCTCGCTTGCACTTTCCCACTCTGCCGCCGCTCTCCTCAGGGCTGCCCGAGGAGGGGAGGGGTTAATTTAGAATAGCAAGGCCTGCAGCAGGGATTCAGACGCCCCCCTCCCCGGTCTTCCTAGATCTCTGTAGCGAGGTTAAATTAGGCCTTGAATGGCTGAGGGAGGCTTCGCAGATCGGGAAAGGGCGGGTGAAGAAGAGGGCGTCCGGGGGTTGGCGGGTTCCCAGCAACGTCTCTTTAGGCGAGGCTTGGTCTAGTTTTGCACTTCTCTGCGGGGAAAAGGTGGAAGCCAGAAAAGAGCAGCCTCCGAGGTGTGTCACGCCGACCCGGGGCTTTAAAAAGCCTCCATCCTCTTTTTGACCGGTGCCGCCAACGCGTTTTTTTCGCTGTGGAAACTTCGTCCGAGCCCATTTGCTGCTGGCTGTGCGTGGGGCAGAAGAGTGGCAGTTGGGGAAGGCTGCGTCGTGGGGGTCTGTTGTCCAGTGTGTACCGCAGAGTCGAATGGCGTGAGTGGCTATGTGTTTGTGTAGTGTGCGTGTGTACGTGTGTGGTACCAGGGATGGCTTGTTCTCAAAACTGTTTCAAAAGCTCTTCGGGCCAAACCTGACACTTGCAGAATTAAAAAAAAAGAGTAAAAAAAAAAAATGGATACAACGAGGGAGGTGGCTGGACACTTTGTTGAAGAAGAGGAGGTTGAAGGTCACGCTGAAGAAGGTTTTTAAATTTTTTTAGTATCTTTTGAAGGTGCTTTTTTGATCAAGCAAACACAAGGGTAGTGAGAGTGAAGAAATCCAATTGAAGAGAAAACTTATTTTTCTCTGGAGGAAAAGCTGGCAGGAGCTGGTTTTCCTTGTTTTCTGTTTTATTAGAGGATTGCCATCCTTGATTTGATGCCTGATTGATTGCCTGTCATCTGGCAGCCTTTGATCTATTCATTCCTGATAAACATCAATAAATCACTCACCATGGAAACACACATGCTCCTGACAGCTCAGCCACTATCAGGGCAACTTTTCTTCTCTCTCCCGGTTTTCCCTCCCTGCTCCATTTTAATTCCCTCTCAGAAGTTTTACAGCTGCAGCATCTCTTTACTCAGCACACCTACTAATCCATTTCTAAAAACCCTGGTGTGTGTCAGCAGTTGCAGTGTATTTCAGGGTAGCATTTAAAATAGCCCAGCAATTCTTATTGATGCATCTGCTGAGATCTTAACTCATTTTAGTGCCTTATGAAACATTATGCCTCTGTCTCAAACTTCAGCTGCTTCACTTTTTTTAATAGACTTTCCAAATCTGAAT